GCAGGATAATCGCCATGGGGGCTTGTGAACCCAAGAGGCCCCTTACCGGTGACCGAAAGGATTTCGGGTGACCCGCGCAGTGGGCGGGCCACCCGCCGCGCGTGCGCGAGCGCGTGGCGGGATCTGTCATGTCCCACGGTAGGAAAGTTGCCGTGTCGTTCTGGATACTAAATTGAACCCGTAGCGGTGGCCGACCGGATTTCGGGTGGCTCGCGCGATGGGCGGGTCGCCCGCCGCGCGTGCGCGCGCGTGGCGAGTTCTGTAATGTCCACAGTAGGAACGTTGCCATGTTGGCCTGGGAATTAAAACCAAGCCTTAGCGGTGACGGATTTGATTGCGAAGGCCTTGCGGCCGGTCCCGCCGCCCCTGAGGGGAACGACGACGACGGCGGCGGCGGCGGTAGCGACGACGACGATGCTGACGTGGGTTGAGTCCTCAAACGTGCTTCTTGGGGTTTCTTCCGAGCGCTCTCAGGGGCCTCTGGGGGGATGTTTGGGGGCCTCTTGGGAGCCTCTTGGGGCCTCTTTGGGTTTCCTGGGGGCCTCTTGGGGGCTTCTCGGGGCTGAGGGCTCGAAATGTCCATTCGGGTCCCCCGTCTGGGCACTCTCTTGGAACCGTCTTGGGGGCCTTTTGTGCCGTCTTGGAGGCGTTTTGGGCCGTCTTGGGGCACTCTTGGGCCGTTTGGGGCCTCTCTTGGAGGCCTCTTGGGTCGTCTCGGGGCGACCTTGGGGGCCTCTTGGGCCGTCTTGGCGCGTGGGGAAGCGGAAGAGGCGAAAACGCCAAAATGCTTGGAAAACGTATGGGAAATCCCTGATTGTTGCTTCTTGGGGCTCTCGTGGGAACAGTCTTGGAGGCCTCTTGGGGCGTCTCGCAGGTCTCTTGGGCCGTCTGGAGGCCGTCAAGGCGTCTTGGATAGATCATTCGGCGATTCGGGGCCCTCTTGGATCGTCTTGGGGGCCTGCTGGGGCACTCTTGGCCCGTCTTGGGTTTGTTTTGGGGCTCCGGGTTCCCCGGGGGGGGCGGCGTAAAAACCCAGGACCCCCCCCCGGGACCCACCCGGGGACCCACCCCGGGACCCCTCCCCCCCGGGCGGGGAAGGGATCAAAGGGAAGGGGCTTCCCTTCGACTCAATTACGACGTTGCTCAATTTCGCTTTGGACTGGCACGCTTCAGGAGGAGGCCCTGGGAGAGGGGTAGAAGCAACGACGCTGTGGGGAAAGGGGAAGGAACGACGACGACGACGACGACGACGACGACGACGAAGAGGGAACAGACGGAGAAGCCTTCTCCACACGCCGACAGGGTCGGCGGATTTTGAAATTCACATAAGCCCTGGTGCCAGAACTCACCTCGTCCTCGACGGCACTCACGGCGGACAGCTCGAACTCTTCGTCAGCGGCGTCTTTGAAGTGAACAGCCCGCGGATGGGAAGCTCGATGTCGCATTCGATCTCGGGCTGGCAAGTCTTGGTTCGTCCACGGCTTTTCACTAGCTTGATTACGTTCTCCCGCGCCCAGTCGCCACTGATCGCCGTGCTGAGTGAAGCCCTCTCGGTTGCCGAGAGACCCGTATTCCGTCACAGCGACACACCTCGAACCTGGTCTGGAAACATGTCTCGGAGATCGGGCACAATCGCCTTGTAGGCCTTCAGCAGCTCATGGTACAGGTCCTCCTCGGTCTCGATCCGCTGAGATGGTCGGACCGTGCTTGTGGTCACCGCCGTTCTCCTTGGTCCTCCGTGGAAGTATTTGTCCGTCCTGTCACCCACATCTGCGATCATCTCGATCAAGTTCTCTGTACTTTTTGAACAAGCAACTGGCTCTGGACATACGGGCTGGCCATGCTCGTCTGCGGCGTCGGAACGGTTAAGTCTCATGGCCAGCTTTCTCTGCGCAGACTGTGGCGGCAGCGCTCTGATCAGCCTGGGGGCTATCAGGTGCCGCTGCTCCTCCTTGGCCCCAGCAGCAGGAGTTCCACATCCTGCGCGTAGGTCTCGAGAGACTTCGCTCGACCATTCCACACTGGGACCGTCACTCCATCCTTGTCCATCGCGCGGAATATGAGATAAAGCGTGTGTCTGAAAGTTCACGCACGCTCCGTTGCCAGTCCAAACTAACGGATGTATCGTTGATAGAGATACACTTGTGTATCACTACCGTAGTTTTTCTCTGAAATGACGATAGAAGTGCAAGTAAGCGTCATAGCGAGAGAGCGAGGGCGAGAGTAGACAATAAGCATACAAGCTGTGGGCACAGCATGCTTCAGACCCTGGGACTGGCTTTCGTCCCGAGAATGTTTTGGCAGTCCCAGGGCTCGCCAAGGGCCCCCGGAGTTCGACAACGGGCAACACCGTCCATCGCGGTGTTTCTTCCACGGGAGGAGGAGGAGGAGGAGGAGGACGACGACGGCGGCGACGATTTGACGACTGCAACCTCGGCGGCGGTGGCGCCAGCTGCGGTGGCGCCAGCTGCGGCGGCGTGGTGATGATTGCCGCCGCGAGGCGCCGCCCTCCGACGCGGCGGTGCTGGACGTGGCGCGCGCCATCTACCATAAGGGGCGCCCAGAGGGCTCGCCCGGGCTCCTTGCGGTGGGCCCCCCTCTTTTCTTTTAGGCATCCCAGAAGGGGTCGGAGCAGATGGTGTCGGGAAACTGCGTCGCATAGCCGATGCATCGCCGATGCATCGCCGATGCATCGCCGATGCGGCTCGATGTGGAGCTCGATTTTCTCCACGCCGACGTCGCCGATGCGTCGCCGACGTTGCCGATGCATCGCCGATGTATCGGCGATGCATTGGCGATGCGGCGCGATCTTCCGACCCCGTCTGTTTTGATCCTTATCTAGGAGGCCTCTACTGTTTTCTCGGGATTCACAGGAGGGAAACCCTGAGATCCTGGCGTCGCATCTTTTTTCACAATGGGCGGTTTTGCCTTGTCCCGGGCCGCGGGACCCTCGCGGATCGGTCCGACTCGCAAAATGCTGGCTCAAGGATGGGGTCCAAGGTTCTGGTCGAGGTATTTTTGGCGATGTTGCAATTTTTCGTGACGTCGGATCTCAGGGAAGGTCACCATACCGCTACCCTTCCCTCGTTTTCGCCTTTCGGGGCCTCCTGGGAAGCCTTCGTCGCCACAGCTGGATTCGCCTTGAAATGCTGGTCAGAACGCATCCGATGTGAGGTCTGGGGAGTGGTGGTATGTATCCCCTGGTTTGGAGACTATCCCTGACATCCTCTCGTTGCGAAAAAACATCACGACGAGAGCTTGTTTTCGGCCTACGGGGCCTTAGCGGGCCTCAGAACCGTTAACAAACAAGTCGAAACAGAACCCCGGTTCTGGGGACGTGATCCAAGACCTCCAGGGACGCATCGGCGTCGGCGTGGAGAAAATCCGCCTTCTCATCGAGCCGCTTTTCTGATGCATGGGCGATGCGGCGCGATCCTCCGACCCCATCTACTCGGACCCCACCTGGGAGGCCTAGACTCGCTGGCCCCTGGCATAAAGAGTCGGTCCTGGTGAAGGGGTCCAGACCTCCTGGGGAGCCTCGCCGTGAAACGATCACGACGTCGGGTGTCTGGGAAGACTATCCCTGGCACGCGCGTCGTCTTTACATATTGCGAAGGCCTTGCGGCTGGTGCCGCTGACCCTGAAGGCGGGACCTCCCCCAGCATCCCCGCTGGCTGGCGACACCCCCCGGGACCCGCCAGGACCCGGGGGGGGCGGTATCCTTGCCCAGGACCCCCCCCCCGTCAGGGAAGGGGAAACATGTAAAGGGAATCGATTTAACTACCACAGTCTTTTTCCTTGTATATCAATTCCCTTGGGACTGGCGACGGCGACGACGACGATGACGACGACTCCAACGGGAAAGCGTCTCACACACGCCGACGGGTCGGCGGATTTGCGTGTACTGGTCCGCTCTTTGTGTGCAAAGCGGGGTGCTTTCTTCAGCAGTAGTGCTCTGATGGGGTCGTCCGCTGATGCACCTTTGGCTCTCCGATCGACCCTCATCCCTGCAGATCCTGGCGGCGCACCAAAATTGGGACCAGCCGGTCTGTGGACATTTTCCCACCAGCCAGCTTACTAGCCAGCCTTCGCAGCTGCTGCTACGCCAGTCGCGGTCGCTCCGCGCCCCTGGCCCGCCCCCGGCCTTCGCGCCGCTGCTTCCCCATCCGCCTGTCGCCCCGGTTCTCTGGCCGCCCGCTGCCCCCCCTCCCCGCTTGCTGGGCTTCGTCCGCACTGCGGTTGCTGGCCGGCCATTGGTGCATCGCGATGCCGCCCCGCGACGGCTGCCAGGGGCTGCCCTTCAGCCCAGCCGCTCCCGCCTGCTCGCCGCAGCCCCGCTGCGTGAGTATCCCCCGCGCCCGGCCCCCCCTCCCGCGGCCGCCCCCTTCGCCTCCCCCCCACCCTTTTTCATGCGGGTAATTCGCGATGCCGTGCCCCAGTCTCGCCTGGACCCGCGTGCGGATTGCCTTCCGCCGCGCTGCGACGTAAAAAGAAGTTTCTGGACGTTTTCGGCCTCTGGGAGCCGTGGCCCGGCCAAGGGGACAGTCAGAGAACCTCTTCGGAGGAAACGCCGGCCCTGGGGAAGGGGTCGAGCTGTCTCAGGGCGTCCGCGTCATGAACATCTGTGCGTTCCAGGAGGAAGTCCCTCTTGGGCCGCCTTCGGGGATCCCTCTGATGTCGAAGCCGCCAGTCTCAATGGGATGGTAATTCACGGTCGGGATATTTTGCTTAGCGTGTCGCGCCGCCGGTTCTGGTCCACCGTGCTTCGGTGCGACGCGCTAGCCACGTCCGGGTCCCCAATCGTCGACGTCCCGATCTTTTACCAGCCTCCAGCTCCGCGGAGCGGGGCGACACGTTATCCGCTTGCAGGGCACAGCATGTCGCCAGGGCCGCCGCCGCGACACGTTAAACACAATTTTTAACCAACAGTAAGGGGGGCTGGAGGAAGACACCACGATCATCACGCGCGTGCTCCGTCATCACGCGGCCATCAGCCCGTCAGGGCGCGCATGCCGCGTTGGCTCCGCCTTCCGCTGGCTTTTCGAGCCAATGGGGCTCCCTGAGCCAAAGTGGCCACAGCCGTGTGACTGGCCTCTGCCGAGCGTGCGACAGGCCAAACAAAATTCCCCGACCGTGTGAACGGCCTCTCGGCTGGGCGCGCCCTGGCCACGGCCCTGTGACTGGCCTCCATCGGGCGTCGCCTTCTCGGGCTCGGGCTCTCTGCGTTCTGGCCTCCAGAAGCCTGCAGGCACCTCTCGAGACCTCCGCGGGAGCCGCCCCAAACGTCCGAGGTTGTTTCTCTTTCCCCAAAAGAAATCATAGAATCGTCGTAGTTTAGTCGGTTCCCTTCCCTGATGGGGGGGGGGTCGGTGGGGTGGGGGGTGGGGGGTGGGGGGGGGTCCTTGGTCAGGATGCCCCCCGCCCCCCGGGGGTCCCGACGGGCCCCGGGGGTTGTCGCCAGCGGGGATGCCAGGGGAGGTCCCGCCTTCAGGGTCGGCGGCACCAGCCAGAAGGCCATCGCAATATTGGAAAACGACGCGCTTGCCACGGATAGTCTTTCCAGGCATCCGACGTCGTGATTGTTTCACGGCGAGGCCTCCAGATGTCTGGACCTCTTCACCAGGACCGGCTGTTCATCCTGGGGGGGCCAGTGAGCCTAGGCCTCTCAATTGGGGTCTGAGCAGATGGGGTCGGAGGACCGCACCGCATCGCCGATGCATCGGCGATGCGGCTCGATGGAGTCCGATTTTCTCCACGCCGACGGCGCCGATGCGTGGCCGACGTCGGCGATGCATCGCCGATGCATCGGCGATGCATTCTCGATGCCGCGCGATCCTCCGACCCCATCCGCTCGGATCCCACTTGGGAGGCCTCTGATTCCTTTTCCAGAACTGGGTGTGCATCCCAGGGGCCAGTGAGTGAGGGCCCATGGGATGGGCCTAGCCATGGCTGCCAGAGGCCGAACATTGCCACAAACTGTTCGTAACGATTTCTTCTCGACCAGATGGTGTCTAGCTCCTCCTCCTCCTCCTCCTCCTCCTCCTCCTCATGACCCTCACCCTTTCTCCCTCACCCTCGACCGCCAGGTGGCGCACGTCATCCAGAACCGGCGGGGGGGGGGAGTCCTCCGCCCAGGGAGGATCTGGGAAAACAGCAGGGTTCGGATGTCGAGAGAGCAGGATTATCAACGTCGAGTGGGCAGCATCCTGCACGACCAGCGCGTGCAATGATCAAAGGGGCCCCTGGGAACTACGGTAGGGGAGATTGGAGGAGTGAGACGGGAGGAGGAGTTGGAAGAGGAGTGGTCGGAGCTGAAACCAGAATCGGAGTCGGAATCGGAGGAGTTGGAGTCAGAGTCGGAGTCGGAGGATGAGGAGGAGGAGGAGGAGGAGGAGGACGAGGAGGAGGAGGAGGAGGAGGACCAGTGGAAACCCAAGAGTCATCAACGATGTTGGAATACACCCTCCCTCCAAGCTCCGTCTTCATGGTCCCCTACAACGGTTCATTTCCACTGGGGGAACTACCTCGTTAGAAGACAACCTTTTGAAGACCCTTAAGCATGCCAACGCATTGTTCTCGGGATCCCAACGCCACGGATCAAACTGAGTGTTGCGTCTTGACGATCTTGAATCGTGCCAGAACGTGATTCCTGGGACTTCAACACCGCGAATCTGTGTAACGCTTGCACCCTCATGGTCTTGAATCCTTCCCAAACACCATTTCTGGTTTGTTGATCATGGGAATCCGTGAAGCCTAGATTTGAGGGGACGAGTGTGCGCGGCGCTAAGGCGAGAGCCACATGTTGAAAAGGAGCCACCCGCAATCCGTGAGACTCTCGCAAATTGTTAAAACCAATGTTCGCGGCGCTAAGGCGAGAGCCACATGTTGAAAACGACCCGCCCTCAATCCGTGAATCTCTTGCATCTTGTTAAACCGACTGCGCGCGGCGCTAAGGCGAGAGCCACATTTTGAAAACGACCCGCCCTCAATCTGAGAAGCTCTTGCATCCATTCAAAAAGAACGCGCGCGGCGCTAAGGCGAGAGCCACATTTTGAAAACGAAGGGATAAGTTCGTTTTATATACATATATGTATATAAAATATAAGGGCATGGAATAGAGGAGGAGGAAGAGGAAGAGGAGGAAGCGGAGGAGGAGGAGGAGGAGGAGGAGGAGGAGGAGGAGGAGGAGGAGGAGTAGGAGGAGGAGGAGGAGGAGGAGGAGGAGGAGGAGGAGGAGGAGGAGAGGGGACGGAGCAGGAGGAAGGTGAGGATGCGGCGTGGACGGAGGAGGACGAGGAGGGCGGGGGCTTTACTCATACAATGCTCACTTGACGCGTGCCTATATCTAAGCTTCCGCGGCTGATTGTTGTCACCTGCCGCCGCCTGCATGAAGTTTCCTGTAACTCTGTTTCGTCAATGGAGCTAGTTCAAGAAGACGCGCCAATACAATCGCGCTTCGCGGTCTGGGCCGCAGAGACGCAGAGATCCCCTTCTCCAGGGTGGTTGCACGATAGCGCGAAGATAATCAGAACTAGCGCAGCGCGAAGCGCGAAGTTGGGTGTTCTAGGTCTACCCAAAGTCCGCTCGGAACTGGTCCCCTGACTACTACCCTTCGCCTGACCCAGGACTTCCACGTCGTGTTGCTCTCAACACGCGGTCCTCAGAAGTTTCGCCTCCAGCCCTCGGACGTTCAGGACTGGCAGGAGGGGCGCCTCGACGGCGAGAGGCTCGTCACGGAAGGGGCTCGATACGGGAGGAGCCGATGCGCCGATGAGGCCGCGCCCGACATACGGGTTGGCCGCGGGCAGCGATCGGCGGGGGACGGGCTCGGGGGGGTTCGCAACGACATCCAAGCGCCCATTCATCGCCGACAGGGGCCCGAGAGCCCGCCCCGCCAGGGAACTCACAGTTTCGCCGTCGAGGGCTCATCTTCGACCTGTCGGCGACGAACCGCCGATTCAAGGTCGATGATTCCTCCCCCCTCCTCAGCATGTCCCCTCCTAGCGTTGTCCCTCAGTTGGCGGGCGACCCAGACGCCCGACGCCGTGATTTTCTTACAGCGCGGACCCCGGAAGGTCTCGACCAAGACTCCTGGAGGTCTCGACATGCTTTTGATCCCGAGTCGTTTCTTGACGGGCACCGGGGCCCAGCGAGGGCTCCCCGAGGCCGAAACTGGCAAGAAGCTTCCCGCCGTCTTCTTTTTCACAGCGCGAGGGTATCTGGGGTGCCTAGTGGCAGGGACAGGGTGGGAGAAAGTTGCAGCCGTGTGCGCGTGCGGAAGCCGCGCATTCGAGCAGTCAGCACGGGCGACAAAACATCCGAACGCGAGCTTCGAACCCTCGGTCTGACCGACAGGTCGGTCAAGCTTTGCGCTCGAATCGCAAGGGTGTTTGATGTTCGAGCCGTTCCCCCCCTTCCGTTGCCGCCCCTTAGTTGGCGGACGAGCCCAGTGGCAGGGGCAGGGCGGGAGAAAGCGGCAGCCGTGCGCGCGCGTAAGCCGCGCCAGAAGAAGCGGCGGAGAAGCAGAGGGATCCGGGCGGTGGCGCGGCGTTCGCGCTGCCCGTTTTCGGGCCATCCGAGGGTGAGGGCGGCGAGGGGGTCGATGCGGCCGCGCCCGACAGACTCGGAGGCGGGGATCTACTTGGGGATCGATCTTCGGGGCAGGCAGTGAATGTGGAAGTATTCGGGCCCTGTGGGCCAAAGACATCCATATTCCATATCCACCGCCTGCCGAGGTTCCCCCGAAGCCGCGCCAGAAGAAGCGGCGGAGAAGCAGAGGGATCCGGGCGGTGGCGCGGCGTTCGCGCTGCCCGTTTTCGGGCCATCCGAGGGTGAGGGCGGCGAGGGGGTCGATGCGGCCGCGCCCGACAGACTCGGAGGCGGGGATCTACTTGGGGATCGATCTTCGGGGCAGGCAGTGAATGTGGAAGTATTCGGGCCCTGTGGGCCAAAGACATCCATATTCCATATCCACCGCCTGCCGAGGTTCCCCCGATACTTGGCTGATCCGATACTGACTGACTGAGATCCGTGGGCACGACGTACAGAAACTGCAACATCGTAGCAAATTCGACTGGAGCTCTGGATCCCATCTTTCTCTTGCTTGTTTCGAGACGAATCCATCCGTGACGGTCCCGGGGCCCGACACGAGGCAAAATTGGCCGTTCGATGTTGATTGACCGATTCGATGCTGACTGACCGATTCGATGCTGACTGACGGACTGATGGGACGTTAAGATGCAACTCTTGGGAGGTGAACTTCAGCATGGGCGCTGTCATATTCGTGGGCGAAAATAAGGCTGATCTGGCAGAATCCCGCCCAATCCATCGCAGTCTCGCTTAATCCGGTTTGCTCCTGCTCAATCTCCGGCTTGATTGGGGGTGATCGTTCCTGCGAATGCTTCCCAGGAGTTGCTCCCTGAGCGGCGCGGAGGTGCCGCCACCCGACAGGTGCCTTTGACCTGCTCATCTTCCTGCGGCATCTTCTGAGCCGGACCGAGCCGTGAGGGTCCCGGGGCCCGACGCGGGGCAAAATCGCCCCTGGTGACAACAGCGCAACGTTGTGGCAACATGATTTTCGATGCTGCCTGACCGCTTCGATGCCGACTGACTGGCCTGGATACCGTGCTTTGTACCCCCTGGCGACAACGGGCGTGGCTTGGGTGTTGTGGGAGGCGCGCCCTGTCACGTCACGTCCCGATTTGCGCCGGCGCCGTCTGGGAATGCCAAAGAATACTGGCTCACTCCCAGACGGCGCCGGCGCGAATCGTGACCTTTCCAGGGGGGAGGGGGCGGGGCCAGTCATGGGCGATATCGCGCACATTAGAGCTAACGAGCTCCCGCCGGGGCGCGGAGGTGCCGCCACCCGCACTTCCCGGGCGAGCCCCTCGCGGTGGTGCGCGCGGAGGCCGGCCAGTTCCCGCTCGGCCGCCAGGCGCCCTCTCGGCGCCCTTCTCGGGCAACTCCCGCCCGCGGCCTCCTCGGCTCCCGCGCCCGACAG